TGGACAGACTTGTCATAGCAAAGCCACTTTAATTTTCTGTTTCCTTCATGTAGATTATTGGTGAGATTAAAACAGTCAAGAAGGAATTGAAGAGAACGAAGACAGTTCTACAAATGGATGAACTGAAGTGTAGGAAACGAGTTTTGCGAAGGTACCATTGTGCACTTTTAAGTGAAGTAAAAGCTGGTTTTAGTGTTATAGTTTTCATTTAAAACCCAAACATTGACTCAGAAACAAGTGAATTTCCAGTTTCTCTTATATATGCAATAGCTTTAACTGTTTTGTTCTGTTTTGTTTGCTTGGTTGGTTTTCATGCTTTTGTCCCTTTGGTGGTGGGAGACACAGTGGTCTCTGAGCCAGGAGGTCTATATTCAAGCCTAAATGGTTCATTTCGTTGTGTTCTTGGGCATGACACAGGGCTCACAGGGCCTCCCCCCCCCTCCCCCCCAGCACTGTATAGTCGTACCAGCACACCATTTGGAAAACTTAATAAAGTGGAGGGGAGGGGTGACTAACTTGTGATGGACTAGCATTTTACCAAGGGAGAGTAAGATTCTTAGCCACCTTGTGCTATGGAAATAAACCAGGCTTAGAAGATGAAAAACAAACGAAATACTACATTTAGCAAGAAATACCATCCCTCCCCCCACGCCTTTCACTCTGTACCTCCTCCTGACAGGTTTTGACTTTTAACTCCTCAAAATCTGCAATGTTAACTTCACGAATTGTCAAAGCTTTGAAAACTGAGATATGAGTGATGGTAAATCTGTTATAACTTACCCTCTGTATGGGCAACATTGCAATTTCAGGTTGGGATATGCCACAGCATCTGATGTGATTGAGCTTAAAGGAAGAGTCGCTTGTGAACTGAGCAGGTCAGGAAAAAGACATTTTCTTAACTTAGTGGAGCTTTAGTGGCTATGCTATGGAAATATTCCTAAGCGTTTTTTTTTTTTTTTTTTTTGACGCATAAGAAACTTGGGAATAAGAATCTAGGGATTGTGTTCCTTAACTTATGTCTACATAACTTTTTCTCGTTCTTGTTTTCATTCAAGAATTTCAGGAAGACAAGCTTCGCTTATTGAATGTGTCAAATTTCTCGTGTACGGGAAATAATGACTAAAAAAACCAATGAAAGAAATCCTTAGAGTGCGCAAGATACTAAAGAATCATACGAATTAGGGAGCGCAAAACATTAACGAAAAAATCAAACTGAAGAAAATATCAAACAGAAGAGAAACCTTAGAGAGCGCAAGATACTTATCAAACAATCGATTTAAAGAGAATCCCAAGGGTGCGCGAGATACTAATGAAACAATCGAACTTAAGAGAATCCTAAGAGTGCACTAGATACTAAGGAAGCAATTAAAGAAAGAGGATCCTAAGAATGCGCGAGATACTAACGAAACAATCTAACTAAAGAGAATCCTAAGAGTCCACAAGATATCCATTGAGCTAACCGCCTCCCGGTTAGCTCAATGGATAGAGCGCTGGACTGTTGTGCGGGAGGTCGAGGGTTCGAGCCCCGGCCGGACCAACACTCAGCGTCTTAAAATAATTGAGAAGAATATGCTACCTTTCTATAACATCAAGAAATGATTAGATATTCTAGTCTTCTCGGATAGGGACGAATAAATGGAGGTCCCGTCTCCTGCAGGGTTAGGGGCAGGAGACGTTAATTTCCCACGCACGAGATTACTGTGTGATGGATGTCCTCCCCTGGGGTGGGATGGGTGGGTAACAGGACCCCCGTTGATACCAGTGTTTACTACACTGAAGGGGCTATCCTGTATAAATATAGATGTCTACTTCTACCAACGAAACATTCGAACTCGATAGAATCCTAAGAATGCGCGAGATACTAACGAAAAAATCGAACTAAAGAGAATCCTAAGAGTACACAAGATACTAACGAAACAATCGAACTTAAGAGAATCCTAAGAGTGCGCGAGATACTAACGAA